AAGCCACCGCTCCCCCTCACTCCCCCTCAACAAGCCCTTTTTCTGGCCTGTTGCCCCCTCCAACGCGCTATCTGCTCAGACCCCTTCTCCTTCCCCTGGGGCTGTCCGGACCTCGGGGTGCCCGCAAGCCCGGCACCCCCCGCCTGAAGCCGCAGCTCCCGGGGTTAGCACTCACCCGGCCCGCCATCTTCGCGGACACGTCCGGCTTCGCGGCTGCAGCGCTGCGTTTGGCAGAGCCCGCCCCCGCCGCGCGCGCGCCCGCCCGCCGCCGCCTCCGGGTCTCCGCGCAGGCGCGCTGCCGGCGTGAGGCTGCGCACGCGCACGGCCGCGTCCCCGGGTCCCCAGGCCCGCCGGGCGCGCGCCCGCTGGGCGGCCGCCGGGGGCGGGCGGGGCGCCGGCGCCATTTTGAGCAGGAGGGCGCCGAGGGGAGGGGCGGGTGCAGTGACTCTGTGTTTCTTAGAGCGTTCGTGTCCGCCGGCGGCTCTTTCCAGGGCTCCTGTTTTCGAACCTCACCACAGCTGGCCCTTGGCACTGGACTTTGTAGCGGGGCCTTCGTCCCCGAGCCCTTGCTTTCCTCTTTGCCAGCTGCTCTTTGCCCTTAACGTAGCCTTTAGCTTGAGGCTTGCAGACCCACGTGAAAATGCACAACAGGAGCGCCCTGGGAGGGAACTGGCCTGCCCCCAAGGGAGACCAGTGATGAGGGGTGGGTTCTGAGTTCAAGGTCTGCGTGAATTCAGGCTTTTCCCTGTAGGCATCCTTGATTTTCTAGCTCCTGGAAGTTGGCATGTATGTGTAGCTTAGGGGTAGCCTGGAGAACTAAAGTTAATACTTTCTTCTAATGTAAAAGTGAATTATCATTATTTTCATGTTTATTCACTATTCTATATTTGTTTTTGTTTATAAAAGTGATTGGTGTCTTTACCAACAGTTGCCATTCCCCAGTGTTCTTTCGTGGTAGACAATGTATATGGTGGAATTTGAATGTAATATGCCCTAAATTCAACCTTTAAAAACAAACAAACAAAAAAACACAACAGCCCTAACTGGTTTGGCTCAGTGGATAAAATGGTGGCTTGTGGACTGAAAGGTCCCAGGTTAGATTCCAGTCGGGGGCATGTGCCTTGGTTGCAGGCACATCCCCAGTGGGAGGTGTATAGGAGGCAGCTGATTGATGCTTCTCTCTATACCTCTCCCTTCCTCTCTGGAAAAAGTCAATAAAATACATTAAACACACACACACACACACACACACACACACACAAAACCAAAAAAAACACCACACAACACACCCTTGATGTTTCTTTTGTACAGTTCCATTTCCTCGCTGGAATCTTAGAATACATCATCATCAGAATAGATAATAATAGGATCCTGCAAGAAGATTGTTTCTGCCCAGTAGGTTCTCTGGCACCTCTATCGACCCCACGATCTTATTTTTCTCTTTATATTTATAAAAAATAATAAACGATATGATTTGTTATCTTCCATTTCTCATAGTTAATTAGAAAAAAAAAATCTTTTTTCCAACACGAGGAACAGAGAAAAAGAATTAGAAGAGCTGGGCATGCTTAGCAATTTAAAATGAAGAACTAATAAAATCAGTAAGTGGCCTGAAGATGGGCGAGGGACTGACAAAAAACTCGGGCCAGTTTCATAAACTCTCACATTGTACCTGGGAACCAGAGTGCTTTGTTGGACAAAGCAGATGTTAACTAAATCACCGGTGGATCAGAGGGTAATAGGTAGGCTATATTACAGGGGAAATGTCTTTAGTCTCTCCAACCAGGAGGGAAGTTTGGCACCCAGGAAAGCTAGGCCTGTCGGAGAGGTGCCAGGGTGCCAGTTTATGAGCACATCTACCTGAGAGCCTTTGTCTCCTCTCACCAGTCATACAAAGGCAGCACTATGATGTGCATAGCCCTGCAGGGTCTCCCGATGCAATTGTAGGCAGATGTGAACTCTGGTCCTTAAAGTGCTTAGCATCCAGCTCCAGGAAGAGTCTGAGAAACTGCTCCAGGTGGTCGCATGTCTGCACATCCCATCTGTGCAGTGCTCTGATATTCAAGGTCATCTTAGAGTAGAGCTGATTTGCCACCACCTTCTGAGTAATCCTTGGAGCGACAGTGGATAAACAACAAATATTTTTGCTCTTCCCCCGTTTCTGGTCACAGCTCTTCCAGGTCAGGCAGCCTTGCAAGCATTGCCAGACAAGATACCCTGGCCCAGGAGGGAGCACAGAGCCCAGGCAAGGACCTGCACCGCCCCTCTTGCTGAAGATGTCATTGTGAAGCAGACAAAAGTGGTCTTCAGAGCCACTTTTATACCCTTCCCTCTGCACCTCCTCTTCACTTTTCTAAGTTCTTTCAGCATCAGTAATCTAATAGATTAGTTTTCCCAGGAGTACATGCAATTTAAGAAATACTGCTTGGGAGAGCAATGCCTAACCTAAGGAAACAAGTCTCTAATGGCAAAATGTGGGAGACTGTGCTCTACTGGGAGCTAAATGTGGAAAGCAGTTCGTATCTTTGCCCCTCCAATCAGACCCACAGGCTAGATATCCAAGCCCAAGCCCAGGCTTTCAGGTAGCCTTGCAGAGAAAACTTCTTTTTGCAGCTCCATCACAGCCAGTTTTAGGACCACAGAGTTGCCATCTGTTTGTTTTCTATCAGAGAAACCTATTTCCCAAAATGATGAATAAGGCTAGAGAACAGAACAAAATGGAGAAAGGACATGAAATTTTAAAACCAAGGAAGACTAGCTGGTGCAATGCAGCAGTCTAACTGCAGTCAGGTGGGTTGGTTTTTGTTTTGTTTTTGTTTTTTAATATTTTTTTATTATTGGTTTTGTTGTTGTTTTGGATGAACATGTCCTTTCTCTTTGGAAGATCAAGGACAAATACCTATAGTCACGAGAATCAATTCATTCTGGAAAGTGTGAGTGGGCAGGAGAGATGATGGAATCCTCCATGGAAGGGAACGGATGTTGCTATGGAAACCAGACTATCCTTTAGTGTGAGCCCCAATGCACTTGCCAGGCTGCCTAACCCTGCATATTAACATCGTGGATCCAGAGAACTGCCTGCATATTAACATTGTGGACCCTATCTCTTTTAAAAGGGATTATTCAGATATCGATCTGATGAAACATTATGACTTTTGAGAAAAGGAAGTTCTCGGCCTCCGGGAGGGGCTGCATTTCGCAGAACCGTAAGGCACTAGAGGCCCACCATCCATAGCTGATTGAGATGACCATATCTGTCACAGTTCTCTGGAGGGCTCCTGAGAAAAAGTAAAAATGTGTCCTCTGGTTTCTCCTAAGGGTGAGTTTGCTGGAGGACTGTTTCTAGGTCAAGGAATATGTACAGCAGGGTTTTTCTAAGAGAGGGAGAAGACATTCTTTGAACAGAAGCCTGACCAGAATAGAGGGATACATTTAGTAATATTTGGGTGAAGATGGTCTGGGTAACATTTAAACTATCTAAACGTAAAGATTTCGCGTGGGAATTAGATAATTATTACAGAGTACCTTAATATATTCAAAACCTGACCCAGCAAGTTACACAGCAAATACTGATTACCACTACCAAGAGAACTATAACTGAAACTACTCTGACATTCACAGGTATGTAAACCCAGATGCACAAAAACAATACGAGGTTCACTTATGGTAAAGATGGACATTTGTCAAGGAAGCTATCGGCCTATTGATAGTACATAACTGACAACAACATGATCTGCTTTAAATTAAGAATTTTTATTGCTCGGTGGATAGAGTGACAGCCCTGAGGACTGAAGGGTCCCAGGTTCAATCCTGGTCAAGGGCATGCGCTTTGGTTGCAGGCACATCCCCAGTAGGGGGTGTGCAGGAGGCGGCTGATGGGTGCTTCTCTATTATAGATGTTTTTAACTTTCTCTTTAACCTCTCTGTAAAAAATTGATATCTTTTTAAAAGAATTGTTATGTTCACACCATCCTGTGTGGGTACTTTTGGTCTCTGAGTTTAGTGCACACACACCCCGCCCCCCGCCCTCATAGCTTGTCATTTGCAGTGTGTTACCCCTTTTCCATTCGTATGTACCATTTGCTGGAGTTTTATCCTCTTTAGCTAACCAAGTTGGCTTTTAAGGGGCTGAGTGATTGAGAGCTGTAAGACTGTAAATCCCACTACATTTTAAATATATATATATTTATTGATTTCAGAGAAGAAGGGAGGAGAGAGAGATAGAAACATCAATGGTGAGAGAGAATTATTGGCTGCTTCCTGCACGGCCCCCTGCTAGGGATGAGCCAGCAACCCTGGACATGTGCCCTTCGCCAGAATTGAACCTGGGACCCTTAAGTCCGCAGGCTGACGCTCTATTCACTGGGCCAAATCGGCTAGGGCGGGTCTTATGACATTTGAAGGAAGGTGCAGGTGGCTAGCTAGCATTCTCCCCAGCTGCTGAAATCTGTGTAGAGGCAGGGTTGCAGTCCAGCTTCAGATTGAATAGGAAAGCTTCCTTATGCTTAACCTCGGTGTCAGTCAGGGTGTTTCCTACACAGAACAGCAGTCCCAAACTAGTTCCACTTTTAGCCGCATTCCAGCAAAGTTCCTTAAAGAGAACTAAGAACTTGGCCCCGTCCCCACGTCCCCACATCAATCCTTGGGGTTTTCCCGAATTTCTGCAACTCTAACCAGTAATCCTTTTACTTTTCTGATTGGTCGCACACAGCATTGGGGGGCGGGGCCCCCGGGCGTGTCTCACCGCGACGCGACGAGCTGTCACTGGCCGGTGAACCCGGCATTTACAAAGCTCGGTGTCTCGGCTTAGGTCGCCCAGGGCGGGCCTCCTTCAGCCAGGATCTTCTTGTCCTTGGCATTGGCCAGACGTGTCGTCAATCACGAAAGTTCGAGCTCATTGGTGCGAAAGTTTCCGAAGGTCCCGTCCCCACCACGCCGGTCCCCCAGCACCTACCTGAGCGGAGCGGAAGTTCTGAAGGCTGCGGTGAGGGCTGCAGGGACCAGGGAGGACCGCTGAGCGGCGGGCAGGGGAGAAGGGACCGTGGTCCTCCAGGCCTCCTCCTGTTTCCACACCGTCCGCGGGAGGGGAGCGGAGAGCAGCGGGCGGCCTGCGAGGAGCGCGAGGGCTCCCCGTCCCTTTGCGGTCCTTCGGAGAGGGGTTGCTGCAGGGACCCGAGAGGCTGGGCGCGGCTGTCTCTGGGCCCTACGCTTTCCCACAGCCCTGACAGGTGGAGAGGGAGCGGCTTGGTGGCTGGGCAGAAAGGGCGTTTGTAGGCCTTCTCTTGGGGGTGCGGCTCGCCCCTCGTGCCCTGTTGGGCAATTAGTTCTTGTGGTGTGAATGTGCCCAAGGGGCACGGGGGGTCGCCATCGCCTTCCTCCCGAGGTCTGGGCACCTCTCCGAGAGGAGTAGGAAGAGACAAGGAGAAGCAGGGGGGAGAAGCTAGGAGGTGTTGGTTGGGAGAGGAAATGGAGCCTCACAGGATACTGAGGGATACCTTCCTTCTCACAGCAAGCTTCTTAGTTTTTTCTTAATTGAGATTTGTTGGGGGTGGGGAGGGGGAGGTTGTTGTTTGTTGGGTTGGTTGGTTTTTTTTTTTTTGTTTGAAACGACGAATCTCTATTTTTTCGCCCAACAAGATTGCAAGTGATGCAATGCCCTGGACTTTCATGTACTTCCTATTTGGTCCTTCTGTGAATGATGAAAGCATGCATTCTTTGGCTTAGCAGTTTATACCTCATTTATATACAGGTCTAGAGGCCTGGTGCATGAAATTCATGCACTGGGGGGAGGGTCCCCTCAGCCCACCCTTGGGGGATGTCCAACTGATGTCTCAGCCCCGTTCCCTGTGCAAAGCGGGCCTAAGCCGGCAGTCGGACATCCTTAGCGCTGCTGCGGAGACAGGAGAGGCTCCTGCGACTGCCACTGCGCTCCCCAGCCGTGAGCCTGACTCAGGGCTTTCGGCTGAGCAGCACGTCCCCTGGGGGAGCGCACTGACCACCAGGAGGGTCAGTGTGCGTCAGAGTAACTGGCCATTCTGCCATTCAGTCGATTTGCATATTAGCCTTTTATTATATAGGGTAAGTGCTGTGCTCCTTTTCTCTGGTCGCAGCATAGAATGGCCTGTGCTGGACATCATCCATGAGGTTAAGCTACTGTAGGAAACCTTTGCTTTCAGAGGTAGGACTCTGGAATTGGGTGACCTCCCCTCTGAGGTCACTGAGGGCAGGATGCAGAGGAGATTGGCTGTCCCTGTGGCCCCTTCCCAGGAGTAAAGCTTTCCTTTGGTTAGGAAAGTCGTACTATTTAGATTAGAATAAGGATTTTTTTTATTTTTTTTATTTTTTTTCCTGATTGAAGAATCTGTTGGCTTCCAGGAGTTTGGTTAGAGGCATAAACACAGTACTAGTTTCAGTTCTTTAGTTAGCATATCAGGCTCACACTACAAATAGGCTGATTTGTTAAAAGACTGTAAGTTTCTGCAAAACCAGTCTGTCTTTACTATTGCCTTCCTTTATAGAATCTATCCTATATTCTACTGAAAAATAAAATATTGAACATTTTCGCTGTTAGAAGTCAGTATAGTGATCACCTTTTGGAGGATAATGACTGGGAAGGGGCACAAAGAGTTCTAGGTTACTGGCAATCATCTTTTTTGATCTGGCTCATGACATTTCATTAAACTGTACAGTTATCATGAATGTTTATATCTATATATATTGATACATTAAATTTCAATAAATAGTTCTAAAAATTGATGGACAATAAAGTGATAGTCAATATTGGATGCTATGGTATGGCCTCAACTCTTGCCTAGTTAATTTGACTGACTCCAGGGCAGTTTCACAATGCTGTACGTATTTCTGCACCTCTGAGAAACCTTAGGTTATTTTCTGGGTATTAATTTGGTCTGGTAGCCACAGGCAACTAACTAAATTTCGAAGATATGTTGATATTGAACCTACCTTAAGGACTTTGCTTCACATGTGTAAAATAAACTGGTTCTCTAAGTTCTCATTTCAAGAGAGTTTAGATATATTTATTGTGGCATTGCTTCCCCACAATAAATATATCTAAACTCTCTTGAAATGAGAACTTAGGCGTCTACCTATCCCATTTAGATGCTGCAGTGGAAAAGACAAATTTCTGGTAAGGTATCAAAAGGCTTAATTGAGTTTTCCTTTGGCGGGGGGAAGACATACTACTCTTTATTGGCAAAAGTGTACTTAAGATTTTTTAAATTGAATTTAAAAAACAAATAAAAAGCTGGCCCTGGCCAGGTAGCTCAGTTAGATAGAGTGTTGTCCTGATAAGGCAAAACTGTGGATTTGATCTCCAGTTAGAGCACATACAAGGATTAACCAATGGATGCATAGCTAAGTGGGATAACAAGTTGATGTCTCTCCTTAAATAAATACATTAAAGGAAATAAACTAAGCAAAACAAACACATAAGCAGAACAGACTCATAGATACAGAAAGCATTTTGATGGTTGTCAGATGGGGGGGAATGGGTGAAAAGATAAAAAAGGTGAAAGGATTAAGACATGCAAATGGTTGTTACAGAACAGTCGTGGGTATGTAAAATACAGTTTAGAGAATATATTCTAATAATTATGTATGGGGTCAGATGGGTACAATATTTATTGGGATGATCATTTAATAAGTTACATAATGTCTAATCACTGAAACTAATCTATATATATAAAAGCCTAATATGTTAAGTCCAACCAAATGGTTGGTTGACTGGTCACTATGACCACCATGGGTCAGATACTTTGACAGGTAAGTTAGCTTGCTGCTGGAGTCTGGCTGATTGGGACTGGGTGAGATTGGGGCCGGACATTCCCTAGAGTCGACCCACGGTCCCTCCAGCGGTCCCTCCCCAGCCACTGACCCCAATCAGCCCCAACCAGGACTGGGCGAGACAGCCCTGATTGGCCCCAATCACTGACCAGGTGAAGGGACACCACCCATACATGAATTCATGCACTGGGCCTCTAGTATAATATAATATTGTATGTCAACTGTAATTGAAAAATAAAAAATGATTTTAAAAAGTTTTACTGGGATCCTCCATTAATAGAGACTTGTATTTTATATATGTTTGCACATCTCTGCAAAGAACAACTATTTGACTTGCCTTTCTTTTCATTCAGGTACCATGGGGAATGTTTTTGAAAAACTGTATAAAAGTCTGTTTGGGAAAAAGGAAGTGCGGATTCTTATGTTGGGTTTGGATGGAGTAGGAAAAACCACCATATTGTATAGATTGAAGCTGGGAAGGACTGTGGCTACTATCCCTACAATAGGTATGTTAACAGCCTGTGGCCACACCAAGTTACAGCTGAGTTTGTTCAACTGTTAGCATGCTGCTTATATTATCAAATATTTCTTTTCGAAAATCTTGTTTGTCCCAAGGACCTAAACTTTTTGATGCCCAAACCAGGTAATATATACTTAATAAATTGCTCCCAAACATCCACCAGTGCATTCCTAGATTTAGAGGGGAGTCATACAAACACATTTAGATTAAGCAAACTTAGCCTTAGCTGCTAGGCAAGAAAGTAAAAGATAATAATGATTAAAACAGCGAGGGCCGTGATGCCCTCCGTTCCTCTCAGTTTGCATGTGTCCCAGCCTCAGCCTGAGAGGGAAGCTGGAAATCTGCTGTTCCCTCCAGTCTGTCTTCCTTCCAGCTGGCCTTCCTCCGTGGAAGCATCTCTCCACTCCAAGTATGCTCCTGGTGTTTAAAGATGCAGTGTGGTTATTTCTTCACTCTGGTTCAAGCCAACTGCTTGAGCTGGTGTCCAACTGGAGAATCTGATTTGTCCCAAAGCTGTAGACCAGCACTGTGTTTTGTGGGCTATTTCAGGGTTGTGCAAAGGCGGTTTTGATAGAACTTAATCTTTGCCACGAGAACTGCCTCTAGATCCAAATTCCTGAGTGAGAAGGGCTCTAAGAGGGAGGGAGGAAAGGAGTAGGAAGGTTTCCACATTGTGCGGTGGAAAGTGGAAGTCAGTCCCATTAACTTCTGTTTGCTCTCAAGTACACCGTTAAGATCTTTTTGCTGCGAGAAAGGGGGAAAGTGGGAGGATGGAGGTTGGAGAGAATAAGGGAAGGTTTGGGATACATTCATGCTGAATGGGAGAGCAAGCTGACTAACACATTCTGTTTTGTAAGTTATACATCTGTGACTAGCATGCTGCTTTGTAAATGAAAAGTCCAAATGGTGAAGCTGGCCAAATGTCAGCTGAAATTATGTGGAATTGTTCCGCCAGCAAAAGTCATCATTAAAATTTGTCTCCATCTTTTCAATTTAGGTTTCAATGTGGAGACGGTGGAATATAACAATATCAGCCTCACCATCTGGGATGTCAATAGCCATTGTAAACACAGACCTATGTGGAGACATTATTTTAAGAACACCAATGGTAAGGATGATCCAGTCCACAGGCTTGGAACTATTTATATTAAATGTATCTAAAGATGCATGCAGCCGAAACCGGTTTGGCTCAGTGATAGAGTGTCAGTCTGTGGACTGAAAGGTCCTAGGTTCGATTTCGGTTAAGGGCATGTACCTTGGTTGCGGGCACATCCCCAGTAAAGGATGTGCAGGAGGCAACTGGTCGATGTTTCTCTCTCATCGATGTTTCTAACTCTTTATCCCTCTCTCTTCCTCTCTGTAAAAAATCAATATATATTAAAAAAAAAAAGAAAGAAAAAAGATCCATGCTTGAACCCAGCTGTGTGCTCAGTGGTTGCGTGTCAACCTATGAACCAGGAGGTCACGGTTTGATTCCTGGTCAGGGCACATGCCCGGGTTGTGGGCTTAATCCCCAGTAGGGGGCATACAGGAGGCAGTCAATCAGCGTTTCTCTTCTCTTTCACATTGATATTTCCATCTCTTTCCCTTCCTCTCTCTCTAAAATGAATAAAAAATGTGGGTTGTTTTTTTTTAATGAGTGATTAAAAACCTTTTCTTTGAATATTTCTCTGTATATTTTGTGTAATCTGGTGAAGGGCTATGATATCTTCTGAATAAGATAGGTTAGTTGGTGTACAGTACACTTCCTAACTCTCAGGATTATATATCCTTCCATAGGATTGCTTTCGGTGAAAAACACAGGTGAGCAAGGAGAAGCTGTAAGAGATATTAACAGCTGCCCTTTCCAGATCACTGACATGCTTGTGATGTCTCTCCAGGTCTGATTTTTGTGGTCGATAGCAACGACAGAGAACGGATCAGTGAGGCCCAAGAAGAGCTAACCAAATTGTTAATGGAATATGAGCTCCTAGATGCAGTATTGTTGGTGTTTGCAAATAAACAGGTATGTTGTTGGCTTTCTGAATACTGAAACTGAAACTTACTGCTAGTTGATCACTTAAAAATAATAGATATTTAAAGTAGATGTCTGCCTCTCTTTCCAGCCCCTACCATGACCTCTCCCTCCACCTCCTTTATAGCATCTGTCTTATATTCATTCATTCATTCATTCATTCATTCATTCATCCACTCAACCCATATTCATTGAGCATCTAAGTTCCAGTCATTGTTTTATGTATTGGTGATAACATCAGTGAACAAGACAGACAAAAGTCTCTGTGTTTATGGAGTTTACATCCTAGTGGGAGGAGAGTCAGTGAATACATAATATGTAATGTGTCCAGTGGAAGTGTTGTGGGGGAAAGTAAAGCAGAATGGATATGGGGAAGGGCCAGGATGCCTCTCTGATAAGATGACATGGGAGCAGAGACCTGAAGTCCAGCAGGAAGGGAGCCCCAGGGTTCTAGGAACAGCAAGGCAGCCAGTGACACTGGAGCAGAGTTGGGAGTGGATTAGGGAGGGAATGATTAGATCTTACAGAGCTATCACTAAGGAGGAAATCTACACTAATGAAAGAGAAACATGAAAATTGACCATCACTTTGCTATGCCCACCAGCCAATCAGGAGTGAGTATGCAAATGAGGATGGCAGTGGCCTCACCCCCAGCTCCTCCAGGCCTCTGAGCAGCATGAATGCAAGCAGGGAGTGGCCAGGCAGGGTGGAAAGCCTGCTATGAGGGGGGGGGGGGGGCACAGGGAGCTACAGGAGCGGTGCTCTGCTCCGAGGGAAGACTGAAGGCAGCGCAGAATGAAGGCCTGGGTTGTGAGTGCCGGAGGAAAACCGGTGCTGGCAGCTAGGGGAAGAAAGGCCTATTGCATGAATCTCTTTGTGCAGTGGGCCTCTAGACTACACTAATAAAAGAGAAACATGCAAACTGACCATCACTCCACTATGCCTACCAGCCAATCAGGAGGGAATATGCAAATTAAAAGGACAAATAAGCAGCAGCTGCCCAGCTGCTCCAGGCACAGAGTACCCGGGCGGGGCAGGACCCCTGCTATGAGAGGGAGGGTGGGGGTGGGGGTGGGGCAAAGGGATCTACAGGAGCGGCAGTCCGGCAGCAGTGAAGACAAAGACTGCAGACTCCATAGTCTGAATCGAAGATGAAGATGGCAGACTCCAGCCGGAGCAAAGGCCTGGATCCCAGGTGCCGGAGGAAAATCAGTGCTGGAAGCCAAGGGAAGGAAGGCCTATTGCACAAATTTCTTCGTGCAACAGGCCTCTAGTGTAATATAAGCCGTAAAAGAGTGGGAGGAGGGCCCAGTGTAGAACAGAACTTGAAGCTGATTTAAGTGTGGGAAAGAAGGTAGAATCATGTGGAATGTACCAGCCTGAGATAACGACAGTTACCTTGGGATATATTTCCTCCTACTCTGTCCTCCATGAATATATTCATCATATGATTGAAATTGTACTGTTTATAGACAGTGTTACATACTGTTTTGTCACTTTTGATTTATGGAAAGCATTTTCTCTTGTCATTCATCTCTTTGTAAACATGATTTTAAAGTTGATATTAAAGGGCGAATGGATCATCATTTACTCAACCATGATCCTACTGTTAGGTTCGATGTCATTTCAGAAATTTCACTAGTGAACATAGGGGGAGGGAGGGTGCAGGAAAGAAACAGATTTATCATTTTAATTATAAAAGCAGAATATGTTCATGGTATAAGTATGCAAACACTTCAAAATATCAAGAGAAGTGAAATTCTTAGTCCCATTCCTCAGGGTAAATTGTTACATTTCTTACCTCTTTCCAAAGGTAGAACTTTCTATGCCTACATAAGGAGTTAAATGATTATATTCACATTTAAATTGTGGAGATCATAGTCTGTATTCTGTTTGGCAACCTGCCTTTTTCAATTAGAATATCTTTGACCAACATTCCATATCAATACAACAGATCTACCTTGTTCATTAGTGCTAATTTATACATATTTAGTTTGAGTTTGCTGTGTGCCAGACTCAGTTCTGTGCACTTGGGATACATCAGAGAAAGAGATAAGAGTCCTGCCTTTGTGAAGCTTACATTCTCGTTAGGGGAGACGGACAAGAAAAAGTACACTAAGTAAGTAAATGTTATAATATATTATAGTAACATGTGCTGAGTGCTGTATTTAAAAAGATTAAGTTTGGATAAGTCATGGGGGCTCAGGTTATGAAGGCCTACAGACCATCAGAAGGACACTGACCCCCAGGGAGACTGAGCTGTTGCAGGATTTTGATAGAAGAATGACTTGATCTGATTTTAATTGACTATTAAGAGTAGACTGTAGGGGAGCAAGAGCAGAAGCAGGGAGACCAATAAAGAAGTTATGTACGTAATCCAAGTGAGTCATGATGGTGGTGGGGTTAGGGTGTAGCCGTGAAGGTGGGGTGAGAAATGGTCAGATACTGAATATATTTAGATGGTAGAGTCTAGGATTTCCTAATGTGGAGTTGTGTGTGTGTGTGTGTGTGTGTGTGTGTGTGTGTGAGAGAGAGAGAGAGAGAGAGAGAGAGAGAGAGAGAGAGAGAGAGAGAGAAAATTAAGGATGATTTTAAGGTTTTGGGCCTGAGCAACTAGAAGGCTAGAGTTGCTATCAGCTGAGATAAGTCTGTGGGTTGGGGCAGATTTGGGGAGAAGAGCATGGGATATTTAATTATATAAATGCAACATTATAAACTGACTTTTAATATTCTCTTCTAAGGATGTTCCCAATGCTATGAGCATAGCAGAAATAACAGACAAGCTTGGCTTACAGTCCCTCTGCCAGAGAAACTGGCACATTCAGGCTACTTGTGCCACCAGTGGAGACGGGCTTTACGAAGGCCTGGACTGGTTCTCCAACCAGCTTAAGAACCAGAAGTGACTGGAAGCAATCCATTCCTGTGCATCATGGCAGAATCAGCTGCTTGTGTGTGTGCGCGCCAGGAGCAAGTGTGGATGTGTGGCTGGGAGTGGGCCAGCGTCCTCACACTGTGCCTTGTATCTGCTATAAGAAAACCAGTGTCACATTTCAAGGAAAACCAGCGTTACATTTTGTACACTACCTCCTACTGCAGGAGCTTTGATGATCATTTCTACAGTTGATGGAGGAATCCTGAGGGCTGTCGGGTACACAGGAGCCAGAGTGGTGGTCATGGTGGAAAGAAGAGGGGCTGCTGGCATGAGGACCACGTTCAGTTGTGAAGCCCTGGATCTGGCGTCTCTGCATACCCTGGGGCCTTTTAGACGTTAGAGTCTACGAGAGGAAGGAACTGTCACTCTTTCTATCACTGCCAGAGCTAGATGCTCACTATTCTGTGCTTTCAAGCAAAAGGCACTTGCTGACCACAGGTTTGAAGTTCAGAATTGAACTTTTCCTTTCAGCTGCATCCCAGCCCCAACTTCCCGGTATAACATACTTTATTTCAAGGAATCAGTGGTCTTTTTCACTAGAGTATCCAGACTATATAAACACTAGAAAATGATCCAGTTCCTTTGCTCATTTGCCTTCCCCCCCCCCCCCCCAAAATGGAGACCATTTTGGGTAGTAACCCAGCATGGGGCTAAAGCTCTTTGCTGGGACCATAGCCAAGCGAAGGTTCTGGAAAAGAAAGCAAGGTGACAGTCATGTTTGTGTCCTTGCATCACCCTCTCAGGTTTCAGGCTCCTGAGACTGATTCTCTTGCTTCTCTGTTCTGTGCTGAATGTTCTCGCTTTCAAAGCAGGAGGTTTGTTCCTGGGAATGCATCATCACCCTATACAGTATTTCAATCCAACTTCTGGTTTGGGCTAACTTCTGTTCCCAGAACTACACACCTGTGAGTTATGAGAGTTTGTGAGAGAATCAAGAGGTTAATTCAGAGGACAAAATTTCCCCCAACCCCTAGTGTTTATTGCCTGAGTTGGTGTGAAATTTTGCCCTCCCGGTAATGGCTAGCCTGTACCGCTGTCCATGGTACTGACTCCCTCTTCTGGATGGTGGTATGTCTTACCTGGAAACATGCTTTATGTTGTCAAAATGTTAATGAAAACGGCTTGGAGATGGGCTAAGTTCTCTCAATAGTCTCGAGCTCTTTTGCTCAGACATTTGCTGGCCAAATTTGTACACGTTTCCACTACTTTACCTTTTAAAGTTCCTTTAAAAAAATCTATTGAAGTTACAGAGGTTTATTTTAACAAAGGTGAATTTTTAGAAAAGTAAACCTTGTTTTTGATAACAATGAAGTTGACATTACTGGGGAGAAATTGCATACCATGACAAGTGTAGGTGTAATGTTTTTCTTTAAAATGTTGTCTTTAAAGACTGTTCATTGCAATATTGTCAGCTAAGTCCAGATTTGCTTGTTTAAACATAGAGTAATCCCTGAGAAATGTTTAGATTCTGTGCTTAAATTGGCCGGGACTGTGTCTTACGCTTGTGTATTTTTTGCTTAGTGCAGTGTACTTAGTACAGTGCTAGGCTTCACTGAACACTGTTGATTGGTTGAACAATAAAAAACTTGCTTTGGAAGGAAGAGAAGGCAGCCATGTTCTTCTAAATATCTTAAACTACTTTAAAATCCCTCCTTTTCTATCTCAGCTGACATTCTATGGAAAGCTCAGAGGGCACTTGTACAAAAGACAACCACAGGGGTACTCTCCTGGCCCGGGCCTTTAGCAGTACTCCTCACTGGTCCTTTCATGACAGTCTTTGTCTTTCAGTGATTTTGGTGAGTTGGGGTAAGTGGGGACACACTAGTGCAGTGGCTTTGAACAAACACTCGGGGCCCTGATAGCCATATTCACATCCCAGCTGTGCCCCTCACTAGCTGTTGGCCTCTGAGCCTCAGTTTGCTTAACTGTGAAATGGGGATAATACCTGTTTCATAGGGTTGTGGAGATTAAATGTCTCAGGCCTTTGTGTGCCTTGCTCTGGTGTTTCTCTGGGGCTATTTGATGCCCAAATGTAAACAGCAGTGCTGGCCACAAAGTAATCAGCCTTATTTATAGGAAAAGTGGGGTGGGGTAGGGTGGGGGGCTATGCTTAATCTCTCCTGCTCTATTCACCTGATCCTGCTCACTGCTGTACTATTCTAACCATGGTAAGTGCTAAGGCCAGCTGGGATGCATGTTTAGAAAAGCCCATTGCTGTGTCCCATCCTCACCTTTTTTTTCCTTTTTAAAATTCTGTGGTGTTTAGTATATTCACAAAGCTGTGCAATCACTACAACTAAATTTCAATTATTTTTTATCACCCCCAAAAGCCATTCCTCTCTTCCCTAAGGTCCCAGCAACCACTAGCCTACTCTCTGTTTCTATGTTCTGGGCGGGGGAGGGGTTTGGTGGGTGCTTTAGGAAGTGCTGAGGTGCTGTGGGCCTGACCACAGCACCAGCTCTGAGGCATCAGTCTTAGGTACAAAGGAAGCAGAGCCCCAGGGAAAAGCCTGCCCCATGGTTAGGCAGCCATGGAATTTATTACCTCAAGAGGGAAAGGAGGGTGACGAATAATACACTAATAATTTCTCAGGGACAACAGATGTAAAGTGAGATGTATGGCCCCCTGTTGAAATGGCCAGAGCTCTGAGTGTGGACTCAAAGTGTGAGGCTGAGATCAGAGCTCCACCCACCCACTCGCTGGTTTCAGTTGGGCTACTGAACCTCTGACCCTTGATTTCCTCACCTAGGAAGGAAGTTCCCAGGCTTACCAGGCATACAGCTCTGTGGATACCAAGAATATGGGATGATGGGGGCTCCATGCATCAATTCTATATATTGTAGATCGTGTACTCCGATCTATTGTAAATAATGCCTTATCGGGGCTGAGAATATTTGCATGGGAGTTGCTCAGGACAGGAGGGTTTACATTCTTCCTGTAGAACTGGGTCTCAAGTGAGGTAACAGACACCCTCTCGTGACCCGAGTCCTAGGTCCACAGGAAGCTGGTAGAAGTTGTCAAAATAGTACACAGAAAATCTGATGATATGCTTTGGAGATACTTTTTTCTGTGAAAATTCTGATATTCTTTTCACCTTTTTTTGGTAGCAGTTTTAGTGAATTATAACTCACATACCACTTTAAAAGTGTGGCTTTTAGTATACTCAGAGATTTGTGCAACCATCACCGCAATCAACTTTTAGAACATTTTTATCACCCTGAAAATAAACCCTAGGCCCTTTAGCGGTCACTCCCAGTTTCTTTCACACGCCCCAGCCCTAGGCAACCACTAACCACGGATCAATCTCCTTTCTGTCTCTGCGGATTTGGTGGGACGCTTTGAAAAAACTTTGCTTTTGCGCCACCTTGTGGTCTCTGGGGAGCAGTACACTAAGAACTTGTCTTTATTTTCATTCTTTTACTCCAATGCATAGCATGGGAAAGCCTCTGGGAGGATGCTGTGGCACACGAAAGCACTGGATGGAGCACACAAACATCGGATGGACCACTGACGTAGGTGACCCTCCAAAATGTTCAATCTTTAGGCTGGCTTCTAATGTGGCCAGAAAATAGATTGCCACTGGGTGGTGCTATTTACTACTCCATGCCACTCACCTACACACAGCCCGGCTGGGGTGGGCCACGGGGATTCCCAAGTGTAGGAGAATCCGTCATTTTGCCTGGACACTGGGAACGACTTAGGAAACAGGGACTACAGCCAAGGATACGCCTGGAAGAGAAAGGCAAAGGAGGTACCCAGAGCAGAGGACTTGTGAGTGTCAATAATAAAACAGGCAGCAGTAATCATATCCACACAGCAGCCATTGTTACTATTGATTGAGCATCCTGGACACTGAACTAGGCACTTTACACACATCATCTCTAACCTTCACCCCTGGAAGGCATGTGCATTACATCTGCTTTGCAAAAAAGGGGGAAACAAGGTTCAAGAAGGTAAAGTCACTTGCCAAGGGCCACAGGGCCATGATTCAAATGCAGGTCTGGGGCCCTGGGGCCCAGATCCTTCCAACAAAGTGCTGCCTTGGACTCTGAGCTGAAAACCTGACCACAGGTCAACATCAGACATACCAGCCTGTCATTTCTGGAATCTACATTCTCAAAGTTGGACACCATGTCTCCATCTCCAGTTCCCTCCCCGCTACCTCACAGCTTCCTGATTTCTCAGGATATTTACCAGTAGGGGTTCCGAGGTCACATTGAGAAGTCCTTGGATATATTTAGTTGGAATCAGGAGAGCTGAGCTCATGTACAGCAGCAGGGTTCTCCTTGAGCACTGCCATCATCTGTCTTGGTTCCTCATTACCCCGTAATCATGTTTATTAACCGTTCCAAGTTGAAGATCATTCTCTTTAACAAAGGAAATGGAGGACAATTAGAAAGAGAAGGCTTTAACTTTTTTTCAGTTACTTATTGGCATAAGGTCACTTGCTTTGAACAAGCAGGTAAGACCCCACAGGATGCTCTCCTTTTAGCAGAATGAGCCTTTCTGACCATTTCTTGAGAGCCGAATTCCCTCACCACTCCTGGATCTCGCCTCTGTCCCATCCTGTGATTTATATTAAAAATTACAGACATAAAGTCATCTAGGACAGTAGACTTTACCTCTAGGTTCTCCATGTATAAGGAGAGGGAGGTTGGCAACTAGGCACATGTCCCTTCCCAGATGGGCTTCCATCGGGATAATACTGCAATTAGCTCGGGACCGCAGAGCGGTTCTCTTCTCTTTTTGGGAGGCTTAAGTTGGATGGGGAAAGGCTGCCCCTGTGAACTACTTCACAGATGGCTCCTAGAGCCTCAACCGCCCACAAAAACCCGATTAGGTTGCTTTGTTTTGTGTCCATGACACTTTAACCTGTTAACCGGGGAGTTCCCTTTTTAATGACGCAACCTGTAATGGGTGCGTACTCTTTCACTAGGACGTGTCAGTATGTCACGCCCGGAGGACGTAATTTCATATTATTATTATTTTTTATTTATACTTAATTAAAATAAATGATATATATATTTTTCACTTATTTATATATAAAGCATAAAGGAAAATACAAAATTACAAAAAAAATAGAAAAGAATACCGACAAAAAAATGGAAACATCGAATTAAAAAATTATAAATTTTACATACAATTATAAAGATTACAAAAAATATATACCGTCCCTCTCAGGGCACAACATATATTTCCAGGACGTATTCATACGTCCTACCCGTTCCCGATATTGTTTACGTTGGCCGTATTTATAGGTCCCGCTCAGTTAACAGGTTAAACACGAACTCAGGAATTTGGATGGCAACTAACAAAATTAGAGGGTTTACATTTCAGAAACATTGATTAAATTAGGCAACTTGAGTATCTCCTACCTTGGGTAGGCAGCTCTTGTTTTGGCTGATAACAACTTGGGGCTGAGCTGGGCTGGGCACTGAAGGGAGGAAAAATAATCTCAATTATCTTGCTAGATAATAAGATGTGTAAAAGCCCCCCTTACCCACTAGAAAATCCCCTTTAAGCAAATCCATTTTCTGCTGACAGACCCAAGAGAATGGGTCGTCTGGGGCTGTTTCCTCTCCCTGGCTGGGGTGGGGAGGGGCTCCTCTGAGGGCCGGTGTGACAGAACCGAGACACAAATCCTGCCTCCCCGACCTCTCCAACCAGCAGAGTTTTTGCTTCATCTTCCACCATCCACGCTTCTCTTTCTTCTGCCATAGGAGGGACTGGAATCCTGCCAGGCTCTACCAACAACTAGTTAGGTGATTCTAACTGTCTGAGGCCCAGTTTCCCCATTAACAAAATGGGTACAATCATATCAACCTGAATCCTTTAGAAGGCTGGGGGAAAGGGGTGCCTACATTGACTGCCCTAAGCGTTCAATAACAGGATGTCAGGTGCTGGTTTTGTCATCCACAACCATTATCAGGAATGCTCATGATCAACAGCTCATGGGAGCAGCCCAGGAGCCTCTGTGTTGTGTGCGTGTGTGTGTGGGGGGGGGGGGGGGAGGGCTGCCCTGCAGATGGCACTGTGGCACAGAGCATGTTCCTAGGGGCTAACCCTGGCAGGTGGGACAGCACCTAAGAGTTTGGAACTAGGTGGGTCTAACCTGGATTTCCACTTCCTGTATGTCCTGGATGTATGCCCCCCAAAGGTCCCCCACTGTCACATTTGGTTTCCCAGGCCAGTGACCTGCTAGATCAGGAATCCTCTATTTCTCCTTTTCTACCCTCTCCTGTGGAGAGAGCAGTGAGACTCACTGGCCTCCTCTACCCAGGCCTCTCCTGCCTGGCCATGACCTCTGACTTCTGGGAACCACCCCAGCAGGAGGTGTGTCTGCAGCCCCTTCAATCCCTCTGGAGCATCTCTGCATTTAAATGGCTCCCCTGGGCTCCGTCCACCTGCAATAGGGGGGAGGCCAGAGACCATCCTTGTTCTAACTTTGTTCCATCCAGGATGAAGCTAGGCGCTGAGAAGTGACCTAAGCCAGTGCTGAAAGACAGGAGGCCCCAGGACCCCCTGTGGCACTCAGAAGACAAAGACCCAGGCTAATGGGCAGAGCTTGACTCCCACATAGCCAGGTTGGAATCCCAGCCC